TGTATAGCACTTGATAGAATGTTATTAATAATAAATAGATGTAGTTAAGTAAATGTCTTTTGCACTTAACAATATGAAAATAATGAAATTAATTATATTTAAGGTACAAAGTAGCTAAATTAGTACACAATCAGCACCACCAATCATGTACAAGATGCAGTATTCTTCAGATATTAGTTAATGTTCTAATAGTCCTTTACTGTTACAAAATAAACAAGTTATATTGAGTCCAATTTCAGCTCAAGCATAGATAAAAGTTCGGTCAGTGGGTCATCTTAGGGTTCAACATGGAAAAAGCTCACCAATCACCAGTTTCAAGCACTTGAGCCAAGCATGCATTGAGTAGAAAAAGTGGAAGTCCTTCATAAGCACAACAAAACACACATTCACAAAACTTTGCTAGCGATTAAAGTTTTTGAGAATCATCGGAAAGCAAGTTTTATCGTGTTCATAGGCCGAGCACAAAATGATGATTGTCTTTCACAAAAAGCAAAATGTAAGAATACATCCACCTTCGTAATTGTACAGCTGCCAAACTTTACTAATGTAATCACTTATCACTGCACGTAAGTCTTATACCACTTCTGAAACTTTTAAGTAAAACTCAATACTTGAATACTGGAAAGTTTATTCTAAACGGATTCTTACAAGAACACAGCGTGATCATAGTATAAAGAACAGAAGAAAGTTCTTTATACTATGGCGTGATGCTCGTCAAACTTCCCACCAGAATCGCGCGTTATTAGGGACACGACAAAAGTATCGATGCTTTGTGGTATCGAGTGCATTCCCATTCGATACCGATACTTTTGTACTCGATACTTTGCATTCGATACTTTTTCCCAGGTATCGTATCGAATGAAAAATATAGCTTAACAGTGCCATCTAGCTGACTCCTTGAAAACTTTTTAATTCGATCTATTGAACTTATTCTTACCGTGTGGTCGTTCGCAGTTAAATTCCCAAAGAAGTGTACCCAAAATTATATAAATTGACACGAGAATGTATATCTTTTTTTTTTCATTTTTATTTTATTTAAAATAACCGTTGCCCCACACTAGGATTTTCTCCTGTGTCGTGGGTGCGTTTACAAACCTGCAAGTTCACATACATATGACACCCAGACCCGAAACAACAATTTGTGGATCACACAAAGTGTTGTTCCGTGCGGGAATACAACCCGCGACACGTTGCACGGCAGCCGGTTGCCCAGCCACCGCACCAACCGTACAGTCATCTAATCCTGTGTCGTCAGTACCTTCAAAACAATTATTTTCTAAAGCAGGAAGTACCATCACAAAAATCCTAAACTGCTTATCTCTATAAAGGCTCAACAAACTTCTATTTTTAAGTGATTGAATGGTGGAGGAATGGGATCTTTTATCTACTACGCGGGTGAAACCGTGGGACACTGCTAGTATTTAATATACCTAAAATAACTTAATATTGTTTCTTTTTCCTACATTTCATACTAGGTACTACATACAATGTGTATCATATTTTTTTATTATTGTCCTATATTTGTGTATCAATATGATTTATTTTTATTTCCTGCCGAACTGAAGTAATAGGTACCGACATTATTTACTGACCTTTGTTCTATGCAAATTTTGATCTAAAAAAGTACTCGATACCTTGAAGTATCACGATACTTTTTTATCGAATATCTACTATCTACTCAAGAATACAGTATCGATACGTCTTATGCTTCGATACCGTATCCCTACGCGTTATCACTCTTTGCGCGGGAAACTAAATTCTAATCTGTCACATTTGACAGATGACGGCGACAACATGACAGCTAGAAATGTCGATAGTAGGTACAGATTTAATTAGTGACGTACTTTTAGTTGATTTTCGTCGGCTAACCGTAGCGACATCTACCTAGATAAATTGAAGATATTTAGTTTCAGTAACTACTAAGAGATGGCGCGCTTAACATTTTTTGCCATAGTTCAATACTAAGCATATTTTTATTTTTATGACAATTAGAGACAGAATTCTAAACACATAATTATAGCAGTAGTCAGAGAATCCAATCTTTGCACTAATTGTAATCATACGATTCGCCAGGGTATCCCCGGTTCTAAAGAATTTAATATGTTAATTAGTTTCAGTTCTACCAAGCACATTCTTAGCAAATCTAGCTTTTTCAAAATTTATACTTAATTACATCGACAATAATTACATCATAAGACGAATAATAATAGAACATCACTCAGAGGTCCACGTATACAATGTAACACCTACTTTTCACCGGTAATGCTATGAGTCCCATGCAATAGGGAGATGCGTCTATTGTCATAAATCTAGTCCAGTTCTAAACACCGTGAAATTACCTGACTGACTGAGCTGGGTAGCGATCCTGAAACCCGTTGCTCGCCAATTACCTCTACACTTTCACCAACAAAGCAGTCTAAGACTATAAAATATTATCTTAGACCTCTTATACTATTATATAAAGCTGGAGAGTTTGTTTGTTTGGACGCGCTAATCTCAGCAACTACCACCCAGATTTGAAAAATTATGTTTGTGTTGGATAGCACATTTATCGAGGGACGCTTTAGCATCAAGCCACGATGAATAGGAGCCGAGCAGAGCGGATGAAATAGCGCGAAAATAGCTAGTAATTAATAAAAAGATTTCTCAAGCTTCAAGGTCCTTAGAACTGTTATTAGCCTAACTCGGTAATTTAGCGCCTAACGTGGGACGCGAGGAGAGAACATATTCGCTGTAAAAATAATTAAAATTGTTCGATAAAAATAAAAGCGCTTTACTTTCCACAAAACTTTATTGAGTCATGGGACAGTCGAAAAGGTTTTTAATTCAATCGAAACATATTTTATTTATTGAAACTAATTCACCATACATTGGACGGACGAAATACAGGATTACGAGGAAGAGAAAAAAAATCCATAACTTTATTAGATATTGCTTTGTCTTTCGCAGTTTTACTTTCAAAATTCCTATCATTTAATTCTTTTATCAATTCCCCAATAGAACTTGTATTTTTGTCATTAAACTTTCTACCATCTATCGGGACGTAGCTAGCAGATAGAGGAAAGGTTCTGCTAAAATTACGAATTATTTCATTCGTTGCTAGAGTTTTTACTGTTGATGTAGCCTCTGTTGCTATCGTTGTAAGATCAACTGATCTTTGTCTTTTATCCAATGACAATTTCGTTTTATTTAATCTTACAATTGTTTGGTCTAACTTGACTTCATCACTTGATTTCGCAGTCGTGTGATATATTCTAGTTCTTGTATTCATTCTTGGTATGTTGTGATGATGATGATGCGGATTCAATTCCTCCTGATATAATTTCAGATTAGACGTTGTCATAAACGTGTTCGTATGATTCGATGATGTAGCTTCATTCGTTTCTCTCACATTTGTCTTTAAGATCTTTCTATATATCCTTGAAACGTTACATTTATCGCATTTCCTAATAACAATCTCACTCGTGTCATCAGTAATGTTATATTTTTGCCTCAAACATCCTTTTTGGACTTCAACAAGTTTGACAAATCCGTCGCTATTTATATCTCTTCCGCTACTACTTCTACTGAAGCAATTTACAGTTTGGTTTTTGTCGTCTGTCGGACAATCCTTCAGAGCGTTGTTTTGCTTTATTTCATCTACCTGATTCTCTAAATAATTTAATCTATCGATGATTTTAAGGCCTAATATTTCTAGTTCATTCTTGCTATCGCTTAAAGATCTCCTTGAATGTTTTCCAGATTTACTTCGTTTATCTTGATGCATTTCATCTTTAAGTCTGTTGATAAAATTTTGAACGACGTTTAGCAGTTTTTCTTCGCCTGATTGGTATTTATTAGAAAACTCTAGAACAGTTTCTAAAGCCAGATTGACATTTTTGTCTGGATCCTCAGGTTGCTGTGGCAGTGTGTTTGTATGAGCTGGAATATGAAAATTGTTATATAAATTTTTGAATAAATTATTCGTTCATTTTAATTTTAACTGGCTTGGAATTCTGGTAGTTTAAACGCCATGGTTAATGGACGTAATAGTTGGACCGTTACAAATGTGTGAACTATCATAAGACATTTGTATCAGATCTCTCGCGCACATTTATGCAAGTTGTGCGGCATTGTCACATTCTCATGACATGACAGTTTACACGTTTGTAATAGCCAACTTTAGTAGAAGATTTGCTTCCATCAGTTTTCTATCGAAGAGTCAACGTAATTTTCTTGGAATATTTACTTAAGAAAATGTGATAAAGTTAGAAGAATTTTAATTTTGACTTAACAGAATCTATATCCGTTCGCCTTTCATTCTCGTTACCAAAATGTGTTATTGTAAAATTGCAGACGTGTAGGGGATCCAATACAATCACTTCTCTATACAGATGTCAAATTCAAGTTTTAGATTTAAGAATTTCGAAGCAAATGATCGAGAAATATATGCTATACAATAAACAAGTGATATTTGTAAGAAACTGAATGTAATGTAAAACTTATTATAAATAAAATAAATACCGAATATGGTGACCAGCAGAACACAAGCGAACATTTTCATTTTAATATAAAAAGTACTAGCGTTTTATTGTACCATAAAACTTGTAATACATTGCGCGAGCAACTATTTTTATATTTGTAATCCAATAAAATTATTACAACTATTTTATTGACAATAAACATTGGAATTGTTACTGATTTTAAACTCAATGTTAAAAGTTTCAAGAATTTCTTGTTTTGTGTTCTCTTTTATGAAAATCTAATAATTTACATTGAAAAAATGATACCAGTCATGACTCGTGCAATTTCACATTGATTTTTGAATCAAAAAGTGTCTGTATTAACATTAAAGATAACATAAATAAACTCAATATTTTTGTGAGCTTCATCGACTACTAAGAATCCATTTTAAATAAAGATTATACGCAGTGTTAAATTTCTTGTGGAAATTAAACGAATTTTCAAATATGTTTCTAAGTCCCGATGACAAAACCAAGATATAAGAAGGATTCATAAACATGGAGACTACTACGCTAATATTATTGTTAGCTTTATTATTACACTATAGTCTAGTTAATAGTGATGACTTACACAAGCCAGGTACCATACTATTTTATATCATTCCGATTTTTAACCTATTTAATAAAGTTTCGACAAATACATACTTTATTCTCAGTTACCTTTCTCGCACCGTAGTCACACGTATTGTACTGTATTACTAAGAAGTACCACACTCAAATTCAGCAACTCTGAACACTTTTTGAGGCACTAAACATTTTTCGAAAATATTCAAACGCAAAAACCTCCTTCCAGATAACTTCAACGAGACAGAACTTATGGAAAATCACCAGGAGAGGATGAAGATGGTGAACGCCTTCTTCAGAGACCTTAAAATAGTATTAAACAAAAATAAAAAACCGTTAAGGAGTATGAAAGAAACAGAGAGAAATGACAAAGTAGTGAAAGATCCAAAAATACCGAACCTTCGAGCTAGATTATTCACGACTAAATCTATTCAGACTAAAAGTAATTTAAAACTTCATAAATTTCCAAATTACGTCAGCAAACCTTTGTTCCCGATTCCTGTACTAACTGAAAATGTTTTACGTACTTCTGCCACATCTGTCTCTACACCTAAAACTACAATTATAATAAATTCTACAACTAAACCAAGTTCTGTTACATTAAAGCCTAAACAGGTCGGCCATGCTTCTACGTTTACATCTCTTAGTATTCCAAGAAATTTCTTTGATAAAATATTTCAAAAAGTGACATTTTCAACACATCGAGTGCCTGAACAATTTACTTTTCGTTCAGTTATCTCTCCTAGCAAACCAACTTCTAAAACTGTTGCAACTAAATCATCTGTTTTGACTACTTCAAAAACTAAGTCCACTCGTCCATCGACATTAGCTCCTACTAAAGGAACTTCACCAAATATTACTTCTAACAAACTAGCCGTAGTAAAATTTAATCAGATATATAATTTAAAAGAAGAGGTTGAAAGTTTGACCTCAATAAAAAGTACTTCATCATCTATGAGTACAACTCCATCCTCTATGAGTACAACTCCATCCTCTATGAGTACAACTCCATCCTCTATGAGTACAACTAGTATTGGACGAAAGACCTTCAACAATATTTCTACATTCATACGGGAACTTTCCTTTTATCAAAAATTACATCTATTTACACCTATTTCTAGAATCATCTATGAAGTCACTACAACCTCTTCTCCACCTAAAACATCTGCTTCTTTAGCTCCTTTATCAATACTTGCTATTTCATAACTTCTTCTCCTCTTCAGTCCAAAATTCCTCCTCTTGCGTCGTGGTCTTACAAAACAACAAATAAGTTTCATAGCTTATGGCAGCAAGAGATGACTAATTTCTTGTCTTCTAATAGATGGAAGATAAAAGCAAGTGATTTTACAAGTAAGCGTTTTATTACCATTGTTAGGTATAGAACTCTGTATGTCAGTCTCTCATATAGAGCGACCGATATTTGCCAATAACCTAATAAAATAAATAAAATAAAGGGTAGGCAGTGGTGCACATTACGGCACTTACGACATAACTTACCCCTGCCAAAATCTATTCCGAACTCTAGTAATGGATGAGTAAAGTTCATAATGATGTTTAGGGAAGCTCGATATGCGGTATCAAAAAACGTTAATGCCACTGTACATTGTTACTATTCATGTAATGAGTCCTATGTAATAGGGAGTCAGCCTATTGCCATATACCGGGGACAATTTCAGATTCCATGCTACTACTGAGAATTCTTTTATACCCATTAATACCTTGCCCCTTTCGGGAATCGAAACCGCGACCTCTTACCCGACAATGACTTGTAACCACTCGGCCAAATAAGGCAGTTGCAAGAAAAATAAGGTTTCCTTATTATTGGTCTACTTCAAATCAACTAACCAAAACATTGTTTCTAGGACCGCAACAGATAACACCACGATGGTACCAACACTTTGTACAAAATAAACCAATAATACACCACGGATACAACCTCACACGACGTCCTAGACTGCACAGACAGAGGCACACACACAACAAAAAAATAAGACATAAACATATCAGAAAAGTAAAGAAGTACTACCCAATGTACCTATCCACAAAACAACGTAACTCTACTATAAAAAATTTCTACGGCCATCTCCATAACGAGTCAATTGAATATTATGAATTTAGTACTTTTAAATCGACAATAATTGATGGTAGACCTGTCTATCTACCTGTAGATCCTTTAGAAGGTACAACACCAGGTAAGTTTGTTACAACTAAAAGGTTCACATGAAATTGCGAGGTTTTCAATATTATGATTTTATATTTTTCAGTTTCAATTCTTACTCCATCGACCAAGCCTCCGAATCATCGTTACTACGAGATGATGAAGGAACTGGATGAAGGATATATGATCGTTTTCTTAATAGAACTTTGTAGAATAATTTCTACAAAAGATCAGAAACATGTTCAAAATGTCATTATACATACGGAAACTATAATCAATGAGTAATTTTTAAATATAATCTTTTTGACTTACTTATCTTATAGATTGATAGGCCCGATCTGAGGTTCTCACAGTGTAGAACACTCTCCAGCTAGGTTGAGTTCCCGTGCGTACGACGCGTCGCGTTGCGCGCGCGTCAAAGAGCAATCAGACCACAAAAATGAGGCCCAGTAGGGTTGATGTCTGATACGGAGCCACGTAAGGCCTAACGGGTTGCCGGGGCTCCGGGTCGGGAGAAGCCATTGGATGATTTTTCACCCTCAAAAAATAAAATAAAAAAAGGGATGAGTTCTCCGGCCACCGTAAGCAGGGGACGGCGAGCACGGGTGACCAGAACCAGACCTGAGCGAGCTTTGCCTCTAAGTGCAGGAGTAGGAACGGGTTGGTGATATGGCCAACGGCAAGTACCAATGTGACTTTTTCAGAGTTATATGTACTTTCTAAAATTATCTTGACACCACTGACAAATGATAAAGGAAAACATCGTGAGGAAACCCGGGCTTATAATTTCTAATTATAAGTTTGTAATCGCCAACCCGCATTGAGCAAGCGTGGTGATTAATGGTCAAACCTTCGCCGTGTGAGAAGAGGCTTTGCTCAGCAGTGGGCACATATAGGCTGTTGATGATGGCCTGGAGAGTCCGCAATTCTGATAATTTTGATTAATGCGTTTGATTACTAATAAAAAGGAGTATTACAGACTGACAGTGGTAATGTTTTGCAGGCTACAGGGAAATGGTCGGTTGGTCTGGTTAGACAGCCCGTTATTAGATGTCACTATAAAACTATCAAGACTTATATCCGAAGCACCAATCGATCTTGTAAGAAGTAAGTTAAAATACTTCTGAGTGTCTAGTGCAAGTTTTTTTTATCGAAACGTTACTGCGTTTAGCCTTCTGATTGGTTGGTTAACTTGGGACTGCCAAACAGAGCGCTAGACGTCATAAACGTAAAACGACATTAACGTAACACAAAGCACTAACCCCTCAATGCTCAACCCAGCCAGGTTTTAATCTTTGAGCATTTTTTAAACATTCTTAGCAATAAAGTAATTAACCCGTGGTAAGCGGTCATTCCCGGTCGAGTCGACACTTGAATGTTTTCATATAGCAGCTAAGCTTCATCACCATTTTATTTTCTTTACGAAATTGGCCGGCAAACGAGCTGACGGACCGCCTGATGTAAGCAATCAGAGCAATCCATGGACAAACCAAACACTAACGATGTTAGAAATGCATTACAGACATTGTAAAGGTTAAACATTATTGGGGATTCGGAGATTGGGAAAATCAGGGTGAGAAGTAATTCGGCCTCCAGTAACCTCACATGACGAAAAAACGCAAGTAATTGACACCACTTTTCTATGAGGATCTAATATTAATGGATCCTCTCCTTCCACCAGCTTACGCAGCCATGATGTACCACATGCTACGTGTGAGGAAGATAGAACTCTCCGTCGAAGTGAATTCAATCATAGATTATGCAGAACTTATGTACGAGGATAAAGAGGGAGACTACCTGTTCAATTCTCTGAGAGAATTCGAGGCATTTCCTGAAAGTAAGTCTCATCATTAGGGAAGCCATTAACTACCTTTCAATTCAGTTTAATATTCGTTTTTCATGTTTTCAGTATCGAAATCTGGTTACTTAGTTTGCTCCACCCTGATTGAAAACTTCTTAAGTCCATTTCGTCGCCTCCACGGCACGAAACGACGACAAATATTATTAGACTCTATCAATAAAGCAATAAAGGATAGATTTCCACAAATCTCAGTGAAAACTGTCAAAGAGAAGGACTTAAAGCACGGAATAAAAGGTGAGCACTTATGAAAATAGTTCCTAAATAATCCAACAGATGGTATAAATACAAAAATTTTTCTCAAATCATTTTCTTAGCAAAAGAGATGCAGCATTGGCCGAAATTCCGAACAATCTTAACGTCGGACGAATCATGTATATCAACTTCAGACTCGGATAGCGAAATTAGGAGAAAAAATCGTTTAAAACGTAAACAGCGAAGAATTCGAGAACACAACTTAAGAAAAGAGGCAAGAAATCGAAATAGACACAAGTTAAATAGACGACAAATGAAGAATAACGATAATGAATACTTAAAGTTTAGAAGTATTACAAAAACACAGATGCGTTACAAAATAGTATCTTCGAAAGATCACTTGAAACCAACCCGTGAGAGAACTACAAAAATTACACATTGAATCTACATCGCAGACCAACTAAAGATCAATCTGTAACAATCACACCTCTGTATGTAAATACACCATTCCCTTACTTCCACGAACAAAAAGACTATTTTAATACAGAAGAAAACGAAGTCCATCAAAGAACTGACGAAAAACGACTACAGCGCCACCCTAAGCAAACTATTGATTTTAAAAAATTACAAGATTATTACTACCCTTTCGACGAGTATTTTAGACAGTCGGAGCCTAAGCCTGTAAAAGTTGTTAGTAAAATAACAAATACATGTTTAAAGAGAATCGTAGAGGCTTCAAGTTATAGTGACGAAGAAGATTCTTTGAAAAAGAATTTGATCGAAGCTCTATTTTACAATGCGACGTCTACTACTGAAGCTACGAATTCATAATTTCTTTGTTTATCTATTACGAACACAATGGTTACACTCAACCAGCTCCTGTAAGTCGGTATTAAACAGATCAAGTTCTGCAATACCAGTATAAGCTGACCGTCGAATGTGCGGAGAGATCATACAAAGCGAGATCACGATTAACCGGTTTCGTTTAGCCAATATGTACCAGCATCCCAAACTGTAGAATTCATTATAATATCAGCCACAGTACGTTCAATTCTGAATATAACACCAAACGCACATTTCACATTAGAAGTCCTTTCTTTAACTGAATTTCGACTTCATTATAAAATGGTAAGGTTGAAAATTTTATGAAATGGAAATATTATGGAAATTTATGTTCGGTTTGTCACATGATTATCATTTATTCTCCTCACTTGTCCATTATAGGCGAGGTACTTAACGTTTCAATTAACTTTCTTTCATAAAACGCCATCTAGATTTTGAAGCGAACACTACCTTAAGTAATGTCAACAGTTCATGCCTTTTTTACTTTTTCCGAGTTACAATTAGGTGATGTTTGGACAATGTACATTTTAGTACTTTCTAGTTTTAAGTCAAGATAATAATTTTCAGCTGTGATTATCAATTAATTGTAAGTTATTTGTAAATATTAAAGTGTGTGTTGTTATTGAGAATGTACTCTAAAGTTGTTTTATTATTCCGATCTTAAGCTCTAGTCTCTCGTATGCATAATTTTGTTGTATTTCCTATAAATTGACTTCTATCAAAACCTTTGCAAGACGTTAAGCGCATATTACAATTACAAGTACATAAAAATAGTACTGCAACAAAACAACTAAATAATATTGCTATTTTAAAAATGGCAGGCGTAGTAAACAAACAGGATTGCTATCATAATACTAGCAGGCGCAATGTATTAAATCATACATTGCTATCGTAATATAAGTAGGCGTTGTAATAATTCATGTTAAATCATAGTGACTGGATCGTTGGCCGAGTGGTCGCAAGTGCGACTACCGGGCAAAGGGTCTCGGGTTCGATTCCCGGGTCGGGCAAAGTATTACTGGGTTTTTAAAAAATCTCGGAGTCATCGGAGTCTGGAAATGTGCTCGGTATATGGCAATAGGCTCACCCCCTATTACACGGGACTCATAACATAAATAGTGAAAAGTGGGTGTTACATTGTGCAGTGGCATTAAGTGCCGAAATGTACACCTCTGCCTACTCCTTCGGGGATAAAAAGGCGTGATGTTATGTTATGTTATTTATTTATTTATTTATTTATTTATATATACTTTATTGCACACACAGAAAAAAAATTGTAAACATTGCAACAGTAATTAAAGTACAATGGGCGGTCTTATCACACGCGGCGATTTCTTATATGTTAAATCATAGTGTTTCGGGTTTATCAAACAATATGACAGCTATGCAATCGAACAACAAGAGATGCCAACAGACTCACTAGGACTAATGTCCGGAGAACCGCAAAGTTACCGGGGCTCCAGCTCGATACTGGAGTAGGAACGGGGTGGTGTTTAGTCAGTAAGAGTCTGACTCTCCCTCGCCTCACCCAAGGGAAGTCATTGGATGACAAATCCTCCCACAAAAAGTAGTTTTACGTCGGGTTTCTGTTCGGTCGTGTTGAACCTACATTTTTTTTGATGGCATTACCCGGTAAATAAGCAGACGGATCATCCGATGGTAAGCAATTGGCATCGCCCATGGATACCTGGAACACCAGAGGCGTTACAAGTGCGTTACCGGCCTTTTGGGGACTAGGAGTTTGAGGATCGTTGGAGATTCAGGAATTGGGGAGATTGGGGAAGGCGAGGGTAATTGGGCCTCCGGTAACCTCACTCACACGACGAAACACAACGCAAGCGTTGCTTCACGTCGGTTTTCTGTGAGGCCGTGGTATCACTCCGGTCGAGCCGGCCCAGGAGTGCCGAAGCTTGGCTCCTACGTGAACAATACATGTTTACAATTGTTTTCTTTATAAAGTAGTCGAGATTATCTTTAGTAACATACTTGACATTCCAATATTTTCATTGATACATTCATACAAAGCGGGTAATCTCTGCCATTGTACATTTTTGGACCCATTCAAAAATTTGTAGCAAGACGGCAGCTTAACATGGTATACTAACACTGATAAATGCTTTGAACCTTATTCCTATTGGTGTAAGAATCAATATAGATTAAATAGTGGTATAGTTTGATATGCAGTGGTGTGTTTGAGCGATCATAGGTTTTCCCTGACAGGGAATAAGGTTGAAAATTGTTTAAAAGTTATGTCAAAATGGGTATATTTTGAAATTCTGTTAGTAAAATTCCCAGGAAAACCAACGAAAAGGCTTGTTATAGTGGAATTTTGTAATGTAAGTATTAAAACTGTTTTTTTTTTCTATTCATTGTACTATTTAGTAGAATTCTGCCGGTACCCTTTTGTGAGACATGAATGAATATCCTGGGCGTGCGTGGTTGGTCAATTAAGTATATATTCAAGTGTAGTAGCGGCACTTATCAACCACCGCTACTCTTCCCGCGGGTATCACATACCCGACTAAGACACTCCACATTAGACAGAGACGGTACAGCAGCGCTCTCTGATAAACCTGAACCTTGTATACTGCGATCTCCAACCCGCCTGCCTGCGGAGATTGTGACAAACCCTCTTATGTAGAGGAGACTCATAGTGCAGCAGGGGACTATCATGGACTGATGTCGTTACTGAGACGGTGTCCTTTTGTTATATATTTCTAAGAGATAATAAGTATAGATTTCCTGCGCATGCGTGATTGATCAATTTGAGTGTATTTTCAAAGTAAAACGGTAGCTCTTTTGTGGAGAAAATAACGGTGTAATAGGTCATGTTTTTTTTCTTAATTGAAGTATTTTGGATACAATTTTTAATAATCAATATAATGAGATCTGAGAGGTCTGGGCAGTTCGTCCGTTATCAGGATGATCTTGGGGTGAAGATACCATGGCGTAGGTCTCAAGTAACAATATCAAATACACAGTAAGTACAAAGGTTTATTTGAAAAACTAGCTTCTGCCCGCGACTTCGTAGTTCGTACGCGTAATCCCATTTTTTCCCGTCCCCGTTCGTGATTTTCGGTAAAAAGTAAAAAAAAATGTTGGTTAAAAAGTATCGTATGTCGGTCTCCTGGCTTTAAGCTACCTCCCTACCAATTTTCAGCCAAATCTATTCTGCCGTTCTTGAGTTATAAGTGGTGTAACTAACACGACTTTCTTTTATATATATATAGATAGCACAGCACAGTTTAAATAATAACGGTTATAATAGAGACAATATAATAAGGTACCTGTGAACCAACGATCCGGATTGGAGGTCCGATCTGATATAAGTTCTGAGCCAAGATTTTGTGTGACACGAGCATTTACAGCTTTTAAAATCGACATTATTTATTTATTTATTTATTAATAATAAAGGTACATGGTATGCCTTATAATCTAACGCCATGTCCAACAAAACTATATGTAAATAGTTTGACTGTTGGATCTTCTATATTTAAATTACTATTTAGTAGGTATTTGTAGTTTACTATGATAATGGTTATGGTTATGATTAATTTTAAATACATGTGGTTATGGTAGTGTGTAATTAATTAATTATTTAATCCCTCCAACCGATTTCATTCACGTGCCTTTTGACGTCACTGCGTTGACCAGTAGTACAAAAAAAAACAACTGACCGTCTAAACCAATAAACAGTCAAAGATGCGACAAATATATCCTTATACTAATATTATAAATCGGAAAGTGAGTTTGTTTGTTTGTTCGTTTGTTTGTTCCACTTTCACGCCGTAACTACTAAACCGATTGCTTTGAATTTTTGCAAACGTAAAGTTAGAAGTCGGGATTAAATAATAGGGTACTTTTTAACCCGGAAAAATTTGATATTCCCGAGGAAAAACAAAAGTGTTGGTATAGATGGCGCTGTGTGTATTGGTATACGTCACATAGGCTACTTTTTATCCTTTTGTGACGCGAGCGAAGCCGCGGGTAAAAGCTAGTCTATTCATAATTGTCTCTGCGTACTGGTAGAATTGATCATGACGCACAGCCACGTACTGTCCACTACCTCCCACAGTCCCCCCCTAATGACTACACATCGAGAGGTTGGAAGCAACCTGCATATAGTGACTGTCGCAGACCTTTATTTGTCAATTCTTTACTAATTTACTTTTTATTTGCGCAAAAACCTCTATGCGAACTAAATTTGAACTAAAGAAATCTGAGATTTTTTCAGTAGTTCAAAATAACACGATTCCCATCCTCATAATACGAAGCCCACAAAACATATAAGGTATCTATAGAAGTGTGGCTCAAAAAAAATGATAAATGATTCAATAAAACACGGAATCAATGCATGGGAATCGAACCCACATCGGACAATACAAACCACCTAACAAGAGCCTACGAACTCCCAAAAACATTAATGTCAGATAATTTGACAGTTTTTTTTTTCAAAATGGTTGTCTTTGTGCGCTATTTCTGGGACAGGTCGGCAAACGAGCAGACGGATCACCTGATGGTAAGCAATCACCGCTGCCCATGGACACCCGGAACACTAGCGGAGTTGTCGCGGAGAACCTAACGGGTAACCGGGGCTCCGGCTCGACGTGCAGGAGAAGGAATGGGGTGGTTTTTAGTCAGTAAGAGTCTGACACTCCCTCCCGCCTCACCCAGGTGGGAGCAGTCATTCGATGATTTTCCCCCCTTAAAAAAATAAATAAATAAATAAATAAACACTAGCGGAGTTTTGGGGAGCCAAAAGTCAAAATCAAAAAGCTTTCAACTAGACAGGCAGTTTTGAAAGAAAACAAACGACAAAAGAAATAGTCTGTCAGTCTGTCAGTGAAGCTAAGCGTCCTTTAGCATCATTCACACGGCGGGGTACAACGCTGTGGTAGTGTCACGTTAGTTTCCTGTGCAACCGTGGTATCACTCCGGTCGAGCCGATATATTTTTTTAAGAGGTAACCAATGAGCCAACAGATCACCTGATGGTA